TGTATTTTCCAAAAAGAGAATGAATTCCATTTTCAAGTTCACGTAAATATCGAAACAGGGTTTGTAAACCTAAAAAACAAAAAAAAAATATTAAATTAAATTTATTTACACCATAAAATAATTCCAAGTGGAATTTAAGAATAATTTCCAGTTGCAACGAGCAAGGAAAGTATTGTATATAATAGTAAATGGGTTTTGAGGAAAATAGTAAAGTACGTACCTTAAATAAATGTTGCTGATTGTTAAATAAATACAGTGTTGTGCTACGAAAACATAAAACCAGTGTGCAGAGTAGCCATCGTTAATTGAAGTTTTATGAATCTGAAATTTGCCACGAAAGAAGAAGGGATCGAGGCACTGAGCAATAATATAAACAGAAGCGTTATTCAGCAGAGTTCGCCATAACGTGAGGTTCAAGAAATCGCCGTAAGTAAAAACATAAATAAATCCTAAGTATTCGACGATTAAAAGCATACATGTTAACAGATCTGATCACTAAATAAAAGGCCAATTTAATTTTAAATTTAAGCTATATTTGTGCAAAAGTTCATGTCTTAAACCATACCAGAAATTTGTTAATAAATCTATATTGTTTTGTAATCTGTCAAGGTGTGTTTCATTGAAATTGGAGCTGTACGATTATTTTTCAGATAAACGCCAGGAACCTGCCCAAACCCTGAAGAGTCTCAAAATAAAATACAAATAAAATAAACAATATTTTTATTATCACCCCTAAACATAAATAAAAAAATAACATTATCAATGATTATAATAATTATAAAATAATATAAAATAAAAATAATTAATTGTAAAAAAAAATTGTGTGATATAGTGAATGTATAAAAAAAGTATTTATTGTGAAATCTATAAGAGGTAATATTTAACCTCTTAAAAAGTGGCTTAAGTGTACTTGATATAACGCCATTGTTTTAGAAATGAACAGTTCTGGAGGTCATATATAAAACCTATTTTGTGGCTGACATTCATAAATCTAACGGAAATTAATAATCCTCAAAGAAGTTTTATCTCTTAAAAAAACATTTTTATTTACTTTATTTTTGTCACATCACTATTGCGGCAACAGTAAATATATGTCTATTTCTTACACAAAGTTGGTCGCGATTACAGAAAAGTAGTCACTTTATCAGTGAAAAAGGTATTTGTGTAGAGTATTTATAAAAGTGTTGACAAATACTAAACGAAGTTACATAAAGAAATTTTGCTGAATCTAAATAATATATCAATAATGCGATATTTATAAGTACTACAGAAATCATATATTTAATAATAGTATAAAGATAACTACCAACTATCTGTATTAATCTATGAACAAGACTTCCAACTAAATTAGTTTAATAAGCTTCTTGGAGAAGTATCTTAGTATATATACATCTGTTAGCTTAAAATAATGTTTTGTAGAAGATTTATATATTTTGCAATAAGAATTCACATTTCACCTGTATTTTAGGAATTCTCCAAAATGTCTGTAACTTCACAGGTTTACTGGGCCTGCTTCGGAAGCACTCTAGGCCAATTTGGTCGGCAATCACCAACTGGCCGACCTAGCCATGGCGGACACTGATTAGTTTAACATAGTAATGGATTATTTTATAAAGTGATGCGAAAAGTACATTAAATTATGACTTGCATTTTATTAAATCTTTTGACACTTTAAACACAATAATAACTTATCCAACAGTCTCTTTGCTTCCGTTGTGTTTGGAAACGTTTCAGTGTTGCCACATGTAATATATATGTAAATTACGTCACACTTTTCATTTCATTATACCAAAATTTATATACAGTGTCTCACTTAAGACTGTACAACATATCCCTACAACATTTTTAGTTTTTATCCGATTTAAGTCAAATTGATCTCAAAAGATAGAGGTCATCTATTTATGGCTATAAAATTATTTACCCTTTTCAAATGCAAAGCCACCTGTGCTGCAAGATTTAAAGAAAAAATGCAAAACATGTGCATTTTTCCATGACAAAAATTTATTAAGAAAAATTGTCCAGAATCATCTCGAAAGGTCAATTCCAAAATTTGATTAAAAACAAAAAAATGAAAAATATCGTCAACAGTTGAAAAAGTATTTTGTTTTTGATAAAATTAAAAAATCTTATAACAGAAAATGTATTGAGAATCGTCCCAGTAGATCAATTTCTAAAGCTGGTAAATTTTTTTAAATGCTTTGACAAAATTTTTGGTTTTGTGTTTTTGGATGATTCTGAACAACTTTTCTTAATACATTTTTTTCATAAAAAAATGCCTAATATATTTTTTGCATCTTTTGATCTTAACGATCTTTATGTTTTGAGACCAATTAGGTTGAAATCGGATAAAAACTAAAAAAGTTATAGGGGTGTTACAGTCTTGAGTGACACTCACTGTATTTGTTAATGGTATTTTTTTTTAAACTTTTAAGAGGGCTAACCGAACCAGTGTTTGTAAGGTAATTTTTCAAAATTTATTTCTTCCATACGGTTTGGTCAAATTACACCAAATTTGGAGGATCAGTAGTTGAAAGTGTACTAGAGGGTACATGTATATCTATTTTAATTAATTTTCACTTTATGTAGGGAAAATTTATACTGTAAATATAAGTGAAATTTGGACGTGATTAGCTCCTGAATTATGATATCAATCGGTAAAATTCGAAGTAAAATTCATACATGTCGTCTAGAATGAATCTTCATAATTATGCTCAGCAAGTTTCAAACTTTTATTCCGTACTATTTGGTTAAAAAGAATTTTCTAAATAAGTATCTTTGTCACTACAAATGGAGCAAGGAAGTGTTACCTCTATCGGGAATCGCACCTCAATGAAGTCGGTGAATAAAACGTCCAGTGAAGGTATAGTCAAGAGCAAAATTATTCAGCGGCGCATGTATAAAAACTTTCTAGAGAGTGACACAGCTATCCGAAGCTTTTTCCCGACTAGGCCCCTTAATATGCTATATTTTTTTGAAAGTGTTGAGGACGATATTTGTATAGGAAATTTTTAGGCTGAAAGGGGAATATTTTGCACCTATTTAGGAAATTATGAAAATCCTTGGGAACAACATAAACATTACTGCTCAGTTTCATTGTTCTAATCTAAACTAAAAAAGTAACAAATATCAGATAATATCAGAGGCAATCAGAGGAACTTCATATCGATATTATTTTAATGTAAAGTCCGCTCCCATATGGGATGATGTTCCAGAGGAAACTGTGATTCAAATCAAAGTCGGTGCTCGATTCTTGGTATAGCAAAAATCTAAAACTGCGTGTATAGTTTTACTCGAAAGGTAAAGGGAGAAATCAGGGAAAATTAAAAAGAATAATATGGAGATGAAAATCTTTATTGTATATTTTAACGAATTGGAACATATATCATATATCATAATAATAAAGGTGTTTGGTTCAAAAATTCGATGTAATATATGTACATTAAAGAAATATGTACAACTGAAAAGTCGACATTTAAATATAAAACAAAATTTGAGTTTTTAGATAGATACCTAATTATTTAGTTAAAAGTAGTATATGGTGCATATTAAAGGCGTAATGAAGCCAAGTTACTAACAATATTGGCTTTATACTTATTTTAAATCTGTAAAAATTTTAACAATTTGAGTCATTTTAAAGCTGCGGGTAGCATTTTTATTCAACTTATTTGTAAAATGTATGAAAGATGCTAGCAATAGTAAAGGTTATTATATTAATTTATTGTATAAATTACAAATTAATTGATTACAATTTAATGAAATGATGCTTTATGGACAAAATTTTAGCATTCAGCGGAGCTATAATTTAAAATTAAGCATTTCTATTACCGCACATTTTGCTCTAGTTGGTATATTCTCTGCACATTCTCATACATTTTATAAATACAATATTTTAAGGAACGAGAAAGAATCAGCATGGAATTTTCAAGTATGTACGGGTATATGTATATGTATATACACAAATATTTTTTTATTACCTATAGGTATATGCATATATGCAGATGAGTATACAAGTGGTGGTGCTTTTTTGATTTATGTGCTTCTATGGTGATCAATATAAATTCCACGCTCTTTCGTACATTCTTCATCCAATATAATATTTCATTTTTACCTCAAAAATTAAAAATAAGAGCTTAATATTTGAGATCAAATGAATGATAGATAAGCAGTTTGTTTTTTAAAAGGTTATATCCAAATATCGAACATGATTGATATTTTCATTCTAACATGATAACATCTTATACGTATTATAAGTAAATATCGGAGGATTTGGTATTTCCTCCGAGATGGCCTTTACAATCATAAAATTTTTCGATAGAAATTAAGTAAACAAAATAATATATTACAACATAAATATAATAAAAACATCTGATTTCGACAACCCTTTTTTGCAGAAATTAGTTACGTACGTAAAAAGTAATTAAACTACTTGGCAGTTGAACTACTTGTTCAAAAAAGTAGTTAAACTACTAATTACTAGTAATTAATAGTTACAATTTGAACTACTTTTTTTATCTACCATATATAAATGAAAAACACGCTTTGTTTAGAATTTAAAATGTATTTAAAATTTTCAGATAGTTTGACAAATCTTAATACTTAAATATATTTATAAAAATGCAAGAAAACACTAAAAATAAACATTAATTTTACTTTAAAATTCTGTTGAAAAAGAAATACAGTTATAAATTATTTTAAATTTACTTTTAAAAATACCAACTGCTGCAAAAAATTGGTCAGCGATTGCGTGCGTTCTAGACGAACTCAGCAAGGTTATAAAATTAGAACTTAATGCTCTGCATATAGGATGCATTCTCAATAGTGATGATTTGTACAGTTTTTTATTTTAAGTTATTGACGCATATAGGAGGCAATTTCGGTAGTAACTATTTAAATATAAACGTAACATAATATACCACATAAATTAGATAAAACCGGGGAAACTGTGGATAATACAAGAATGAACAAACGAAACACTAAGGTGAGAAATATTAGAAGTTGTCGGCTCAGTGGTTCAGTGCTTAAACGTTAGGCTGGAAACCAAGTCGAGGTTCCTGGTTCGATTCCTGGCTAGGGTATGGATGTATAGTGATGTTTCTAAAATACCGAGACGGTATAACAGTTGGCTAGAAGCGTTGTTGTGTGGCAAAACACGGTTAGTCATTGTCTACCTCTCCTGAGTTCGAGTCTCAGCTGCGTATTTGGAAAATTTTGGAGGGAATGGTTGTGTGTGTGTATCGGGAATACCAAATTCTCCAATGTATTATTATATGTATATGCACAGTTGTCTTTCACAGTCGTGCATATCAAAATTCTAAAATACATAATATTTTTTCACAAGCGGTAATTTTTGTTTATTTAATACTAAAGAGTAACAAAAATGGAAAATTTCCGTACAAAAATATTCTTATTTATGATTTACATGTTTGGAAACGTTTTCGAAACATTTTCTTGGGAAATTCTAAAATAATAAAATAGTAGAAAATTTACGACCCTAGAATTAAGGCATTTCAATAGTACAACCCTGTTGACTCCTTTTTCTATGGTTATGGCTCGACATCGACAATTGTCCCCCACTACAATACAAGAGGATTTATTCATCATAGGGTGAGGCGTCAGCATCTCCATAGGCATAAATCTATATGGACAAACGCTAGAGAAACCGCGATTTAAATTTAAATTGTTTCTTAAAGTGTAAATCAGAAAGTACATGTTTTTGAATAGAATATTCTGAATTAGAGAAAAATTTTATTATGACGATATTTCCTTGAATGTGCTAAAAATGAGTATTATATTGTGATGAAGAATCCACCTTATATAATAAATATTAAAATATAATAATTACCTACTTTGTTACTAATTATTGACTAGAAAAACTTTAATATAATAATCATTAGGATATTAATTAATTATAGACATTAATGATTATTAAAATTGGTTCAAAGCTGCTCAGTCTGTCATCACAGTTTTCCGCTCTATTCGTGCATGTAGCATGCTACGTTTTACTATTCTAAAAATCGCGTACGATTTAATGTATTTGTATTATAATATAAATTCTTACTAATTAATTCAATAACTTCTATTATAGATATACACATTGGGCTGTAATTAAAAAATGGATGATTTACTAAAATAGGAATATAAATAATTGACGGCAGTGAGACTATCCCATACATGTAATTAATTAAAAAATTACATTACAAAATGATTTATTTTCTTAATAATTTCAATTAATTATAGAAGATGAATACGGCTTAACTTCAAAATTTGAAAATAAATATAAATAATTATTATTAGTAACAGTATGTTTACTAATAAATTTTATTTAAATATTGCTGTAAGAAGAACGCTTGCATTTACAAAAAGGTAATTTTTGTCCTAAAATGTTAATAAAAAGTCGTTGCTGCAACTTCACTATTTTTTCTTATTTTAGTAAATCTTTAACAATGAAACCTAAATGATGAACTGAGCTTGTTTCAAAAATTGTTTTTTTTTTCACTTTTGGAATGTAAAATGGACTTTTGAATTTATCACTATTTCATAATGATTACTTTTTTATATTTTGTAAACACACCATTAAATCTCTATCATAAATCTTTTAATAACATTTAACAACCCGTCAATTATCGACAGTAAAATTCTTTACGTATATAGGAGGTGTCAACAATTTGTTTTAAACTACATTAGGTATACTATTTTTCTAGCATTAAGCCGCTTAGGAACATTTTTGTAAAGCAAATTTTAAGTGATACATTTGTTTTAACATATTATTGATCCCTTCTATATACATATATGAAGAAAATTTATTCAAGAATAACATTTCAAAAAGTAAATAACGCAGAAAAATAAATATTTAAAATATAGGAAACTTCTATTATATAAATCGATATAAATAAATAAATAATTTTATAGATATTTGGTAACAGAGATGTTCTGTGATAAACATTTAGAAATATAATCAAAGAAAATCAGGTACACTTATTCACATATCAATCAATCACAGAGATGGTACATAATATCTAGGGTGGGCCGAAAAAAAAATTTACCCCAACACTCCTTTTCATAAATTGTTTGTTTATTATTCAGTTTTTGGTAGTTTTAGGTTTAAATGAAAGTCAAGATTACGTGGATTACAGAAATAGTAAACATTTTTATAAATAACAATGAATTAGAAACAGCGACCGTTTTAGAATACAGTACATTATATTGATTTCTATCTTAAATTATAGGTAAAGAAATACTTAATTTTTAAAAAATTAAAAAACACATGGGAACTATTTTTAAAGAAAGGATTTTTTTAATCATCATACGCCATTCTGAATTTCATTGATATTTATAATTGTTTCTGTAATCTCCATAATCTTGAATTTCAATTAATTTAAACCAAACAAATGGGTCGACATTTTTTTTTGGCCCATCTAATCTAAAGGTAGGTAATATCTTTTGGTAGTAGATTAATATGAACCAACAGTAGAAAAATTTCAAGAAACAAAAAATTAACTCAAGCTCAAGAAACCAAAATAAACAATGATATTGAAAATATTAAAACATATTTATAATTGATGAGGTAAGAAACTTAAATATTCCAATAATGGATCTAATAAACCTAAAGAACAACGTGGAATATGTGGAAATAGACTAATTCGGGATGTTGCTTTAGTATTTAATTCATGCCATTCCTACCAATTCCAATTGGCTTGTTCTAGCATCTTTTGAATTTAACAGATATTTTTAATTGCCCTTGATATTTGCACGTACTTCTTTTCTTATTTCTTCGATAGCAGTCTTTGTTTCTTCAGCCGAGGCTACAACCTATTGGGTTTTTATACTTTTACAACAGAGCTGAGCTCATATTTTTTTAACCAATGAAGTTACTGAACCTTTTATCATAGTTATTCATTAGTACTATAATATAGTCAATATAGTGCGAAAATACCCTTTCTGCTCAAAATGATCTTGTACCGACATGTATTTAATACGGCCTCTTGGTTTCCACCAAAAAGACGTAGGTACCATTATAAAGTTTCTTATATCACTCCTGAGAAACAATTTGTGGTTTGCTGGATTAGACTAATAAATCAACAATACTGGTAGATCAGTATCTGCACCGATTACTATTGCGATTTGACGTTATGAAGATTCCACTGCACATTATATTCATAAAATTACGGATAAAACTGCAAATTCAGCCGCCATCTTTAGATTTTGACTAATTTTCCAGGTATTACTGGGAATTTTGAGTAGATATATTTGAAAATACACTGTTTAGAGTATAATGCAAAAATAATCATTTGTATTACAATTTTGCCCAGGTCAAAATTTATTTAGACTGTACTACTGAAAATGAATTCCCTCAAAATATGCGCCTACTATACGATTAAAAATAAATGCAATTTTTATAAAACCCATATTAGCGTCAAATATATGGGAAATGTTATATCACAGAATCGTGTTCTCCGTATATGACAACCACTTTATATTAAGTTTCATAAAGCAATTTAGATTGGAAAATATATATTTTGAACATATCGTCAATACAAAAACAATTTGAACAGAAACAATATTACATAGGTACCAAACATTCACCTTCTGCGATTGTGCCTTTTGCAATTGTAAATTGGATAATTTTAACTCATACTGTTTAATATATTCTACGATGTATATAAAGCTTCATTTGTATAGTTTACTCTTCTCAGGAAAATATAATATAATTAAAGTTGTTTTTATATTGATAAGGTTCTCAAAGAATATATTTTTTTTTATTTACTCAATTATTAATAAGTATTAAAAATCTAAATTATTTTATGAAATTTAATATAAAGGGGTTTTTAGGTGCGGAGAATACGATTCTAAAATCATATTTTTCGTATCGTTGTCGCTAATATGAGTTTTGTAAAAATCGCATTAATTTTTGATCATAGTAGGTGTATATTTGATTTGTTAACTAAATCACTTTAGTTTGTTATTGTTCTTTGATTTCTATAAATAGTTGTGAACAACGAATAGTTCTGCATGAGTGACATGAAGTTTAATCAGTTTATTGAGCTTTTTACAACAATATGTAGAAATTATATTTGATAACTCATATTTCAGTTTAATTAAAAATAACAGAAAACAGACAAAGCATTTTTCTAATAATTAACAATATAGATATTTTACAAATAACACTTGATACCATTTATTTTTGATTGATTATTTTTATAATAAATGGACCACTTCCAACTGATTAACAGAGAACAACCATTTTCATAACTGGCATTAAAAATAAAATTTACAAATTCTAATTCACAAATAATATTATGTTTGTATTGGTAACTAAACATTAATGGTGCATTTTTTATAGAAACCTCAGAAATATTGTGAAAATTATATAATGATTTAACTCTTGGCATAATCATTTTGCACAATAAAAGATACTACTACTTTTTGTTCTCTATTAGCTTATTTCAATTATAATTCCGAAACATAAAATTAAATAAGAATCTTAAAACAGTCGACCTAAAAAACTAGATGTAGAAAAAAATATTTGACGTGGCCAGCACATAACTTTCATATACCAGTATATATCATCCTGATGTAAAAAAATCATTCTATTTATTTCTTCACTTACCTCAATTAAATTTTAATAGCGTATCTTGAAATGTTTCATTAAAATTTTTAAATAATTAATTATCAACGTCATTCGATACTATCAATAATAGTTCATATCATATATTTTAATAATTTCTTCTTATTGACATTGATATTTTTGTAACTAAATTAGACATTTCAAATATCAAACTGTTAAGTTTATCTAACCCTATTTTATGAGGTCAAATGTATAAAAAATTTAAGTTTACATCAGCTTTATTTAAGCAATTGGAAAATATATTTTACTGGCTTGGTATAGTAGACATGATTTATAATCTTTCATCAAAAATAATTTTTTTTGTAAAAGGCAAATACAAAAAAGTTTGGGTTTCGTAGACCTTCTTTCAGCTGACCAATTTCGCCCATTAACGAGTTATTATTGTCTTTGGCCTTTAGAACATGCGTACCAAATTTGAAAACTTTATCTCAAAAACTGTGGCTGCTATCG